CTTATAGAAACCGAGTGTTAGGGCTTATGCTTGGTTTCTGCCTTTAAGAAACCGAGTATTAGGGAAAATGCTGGGAATCTGCCTTATAGAAACCGAGCATTAGGGCTTATTCTTGGTTGCTGCCTTATAGAAACCAAGTATCAGGTGGTAATAGGAAGTTCTGCCTTATAGAAACCTAGCATTAGGGCTTATGCTTGGTTCCTTGGTTTCTGCCTTATATAAACCGAGTATTAGGCTGAAATGTTCGGTTTCTGCCATATAGAAACCTAGCATTAGGGCTTATGCTTGGTTGTTTGGTTTCTGCCTTATATAAACCGAGTATTAGGTTAAATGTTCGGTTTCTGCCTTATAGAAACCGAGTGTTAGGGCTTATGCTTGGTTTCTGCCTTATTGAAACCTAACATTAGTGGTAATGTTCGGTTTCTGCCTTATAGAAACCGAGCATTAGGGCTTATTCTTGGTTGCTGCCTTATAGAAACCAAGTATTAGGTGATAATAGGAAGTTCTGCCTTATAGAAATCTAGCATAAGGGCTTATGCTTGGTTTCTTGGTTTCTGCCTTATATAAACCGAGTATTAGGTTGAAATGTTCGATTTCTGCCTTATAGAAACCGAGTAGTAGGGCTTATGCTTGGTTTCTGCCTTATAGAAACCAAGCATTAGGTGGTAATGGGAAGTTCTGCCTTATAGAAACCGAGCATTAGGGCTTATTCTTTGTTTCTGAGTTATGTAAACCGATCATTAAGGTTAATGCTCGGTTTTTGCTTTATAGAAACCGAACATTAGGGGTAATGGTCGGCCATTACGACCGTTTCGGTGGAGAGCCCCTACTTTTTATTGGAGACCCCCAGATTATCATTGGAAACCCCCAGTTTTATATTAAGACCCCAGATCTTCATTGCCAATCCCCAAGATTTTTATAAATTTAACTCCTGTATATCCTCTATCCTATTCTCTGTATGCATATTCTGAGAAGGTATAGACCAAAATTGGAACATGTTTTACATAATGAGGCAGTTTATACTACTAATCAAGAATATTTAGAAACATACTGCACTGCTTAATAAGAACAAGAAGAAGGGGGGGGGTAGTTTCAATTTGTATTCGGTTTATTAAGTTACTGGCAGAAGTATCCGGCGTCATGCACTTGTCCATCACGCTTTAGTTTAGGTGGCTGTGTGTTGTGTATTTGTCAAACATTCGAAAAAAAAACTACCTCCAATGTGGAAACTATTATCACCTGTAGAAAACTACCTCCAATGTGGAAACTATTATCACCTGTAAAAACTACCTCCAATGTAGAAACTATTATCACCTGTAAAAAACTACCTCCAATGTAGAAACTATTATCACCTGTTCCCGAGTGGAAAAGTGTAATATATTTAACGGGAATCTAACCAGAAATTTAATTTTACATTTCTATTAAAAGTTCAGAGTTGAAAATAAACATGTTTAAAGCTTTGCCCTTTGTATGTTCAGCATAATGGTTATGCATGCCAACTATTAACATTCTGAATATGGATATACCGTATACTTGGTGTCCCAAGAATATAGGTGTACTAGATATTCCATCAACATAGGTGAACTAGGTGTCCCAACTCCAAAGAAAATAGGTGTACTGAGTGTCCCAAGAATACGGGTGTACTAGGTGTCCTAACTCCCAAGAATATTGGTGTACTAAGTGTCCCAAGAATACAGGTGCACTAGGTGTCCCAACAACATAGATGTACTAGGTGTACCTGTAGTAAATGCCCGTACTCGTAAAAGTTCGTCCCATCAACTCTATCAATCCAGGCACGACCAGGAACTAAAATCCAATTCACCCAGGACACAACCCACCCGGCTCTAAATGCCAAACAGGGACACAAGCTTAACTATTGACAAGCTATTACTTCAGCTCTAAATGCCTCACAAGCTTAACTATTGACAAGCTATTACTTCAGCTCTAAATGCCTCACAAGCTTAGCTATCAACAAGCTACTGGTTTCCGCTCCAAATGTCACACAAGGACACAAGCTTAGCTATCAACAAGCTACTGGTTTCCGCTCCAAATGTCACACAAGGACACAAGCTTAGCTATCAACAAGCTACTGGTTTCCGCTCCAAATGCCACACAGGGACACAAGCTTAGCTACAAGCCCTTAATAGATCTATACCCTAAAAGCGCGAGGTATGATGCCAAACCCGAATACTCAATGGGATACAATTACTCTACACTGGAATCAAAGTGGATTTCTGGTTATAACTAACTTTATTAAATGTTTATAGGTTGCAAGTTAAATCAATAGACGTAATTACAATTTCTACGTTGTTATTGATATCACATGATTTAAGTCAATCCTGAATTTTTAGAAATTGAATTGTGGATATATGCTGCAGGGACAGCGAAGGAAATTGTCAGAATCTAACAAGTTTATATACCATAGAAAAACGACGATATTGTTTGGTGGGAAGTTTTCAAATCTCCTGGACTGTTTAATTGTGACTTCCAACTTATTATAACTTAAAACGGATTAGTTATGAGTTTAAACATTTAGAATTTGCCACCCGTGGAAACCAGCACTTTAAATGCCATTGTTAAGGTGCAACATTTTTTCAGGATATTCTAGATATATGCATCTCAGCGTAGAATACAATGAATGTAAGGAATGTGTGCTGTGTGTAGTGTGTACAGTTTGTACACAATGTTGCTCAAGAAAATCCGCAACATCATTTAATCCAATTTTGTCCTTCACAATTCACAAACTGATACTTTATTAAAGGGACTGTAACGTAATTTTAAGTAATCCTTCATAAATAAAGGGTTATGGTATACATAATATTTATTGTTTAGATTTTAAATGTTAAAGGAGCACTATTGTATATATTCCTTTTAATGACATCTAATAACTTTTATGACCTTTAATAACATTTCCCATTTCTATTCGGGTTCAACGTTAAGACTTATGACACTGAACACCCCAGAAGCATTCCCCTTTATTCGAACAAAAGAAAGTATTCGGCGGGATTTTACAACTTAGGTACAAGTTTTTTTAACCCGTTAACTTTGATGTAAAATTGAGAAGTATATGCGAAGCGAACCCTGGAAGGAAACTATAAAAAAAACTGTTTAGTCCTTCAGCACAGTTTGAAAGGGTATTTATTGACGAAGTGAACTCTCTTTTTACCCCCGCAAATTGCCAATTAAATGAATGTGCGGTATTTAAATTGGAAAAAAATGCATTTCCGACCCTTATATCGTTATCACTTCACATAAATACAATCTTTGTAAACAAAAACACAGTTACAGCGATATTTCTCTCCCAATAGACATAAACATTTTTATCTATTTTCTTGAAGAGCTATTGATAAAAAATACTATTATTTAAAACCCTTTGCAATTAAATAAGTTACCCTTTAATTATGCTTTGCAAAAATAAAGAATATAAAAGGTTTCCAGTGCCGAATTTAAAGAATTTGAGCCGCGGCTTAAATTTGAGACACGGCTCAAATATGGTTGGTTCTACACTTTCCAAAAAATTCTGTACTTACTGCAGAACGCAGAACGAAAGCCTAATCTAGGGTCTCCACTTAAAAATGGAATCAATGTTTCAATATTTAAGCCGGCGCTCAATTGAAACTGATTGTTGGCAGATTTGAGACGCGACTCAAATTCAATAAAATCAGACTCTGGTTGTAACATCGTACAGGTTATTCAATGGTCATTCAGCAGAAAAATACGTTTCAATTTTATCAAAATAGTATCCACCATAATTGTACTTTTTCTTTTATCATCAAATATATCCATATTATTTATAGTGATATATATAAAAATTAAATAATCAAGTATGATCAAACTTTAAATATTAAAAGTCCAATGAAACAAAACCCCTCGCACTACAGTGCACTGCACACAGATCAATTTTAAGCTGCGTTAAAACTGTTTGCTCTGTAACAACAGATTACACAAAGGATTTCTTAAATGTCGTCTTCCTTTTCCACGTTTAATGAGTCCCAATGTAGTAACTAAGTAATAAAGTCAAAGTTAAATAATTTACTATTTATTTATCAAAAAATATAATGTTAATATTTTGTTAGAACATATATTTTTAAAAATAAAATTTTCATTGGGAATAATTTTCCGAAATGGCACAATAACGAGAATAATGTTACGTTATATGGCAGCTATTAATATTTTTCTTAAATGTAATTTAAAGAATTAAGAATAAATACAAAGATTACAGAGAACGTAGTTTTTTTGCATTTAGGTTCTTATGTTAGAAATTGGGAATAAGAACGGTCTTTAAATGGGAATGAAAAAGAGCCATAATGGGACTTACTCCTGTGAATTTCATTTAAAGGAAAAAATAATTTTTACTTTAGAATATGTCAGTAATATAAATTTAAAAGAAGGAAAATAAATAAATTTTATTTAATAAATGTATCAATTTAATCGTTTTAGCACCAAGATTCTGAGACTGTAAAGATTATCTAATTTTTAGAAAGAAATACAGTTTTAGACATTTTTCTTAAAGGGTAAAAGCAGAAAATTTTTAAAAATGTTGAGAGCAACTTATTTTTATTAATTTCGGTGTAAAATTCAATAAAAAAATAAACATTATTAGTAATGTTACAATTTGTGCTATTATATGTCTTTATATTGAAAAACGGTAAAAATCGTGTAAAAATATTTAAACCAGGCCTTTACAGAAAAATATTTTTTTGTTCACCATATTCTTTATCATGAGAAATACATCAGGGTTTCCGGGTTCCAAAGCTTTTCCTGGTTTTCCCATGGTTGTCCTGGTTTACCAGGCTTTCCTGATATTCCAGTTTACCCTGGTTCTCCTGGTTCTTCTGGTTCTCCAGGTTACCCTGGTTCTCCAGGTTACTCTGGTTCTCCTGGTTACCCTGATTCTCCAGGTTTTCCAGGTTCTCCTGGTTGTCCAGGTTCTCCAGGTTCTCCAGGTTCTCCTGGTTCTCAAGGTTCTCCTGGTTCTCCAGATTCTCCTGGTTCTCCAGGTTCTCCTGGTTCTCCAGGTTCTCCTAGTTCTTAAGGTTCTCCTGGTTCTTCATTTCTCCTGGTTCTCCAGGTTCTGTGTCTACTGTCTGGTTTTGTTTATCTCTATGTTGATTGTCTCGGTGGAGATGGATTTGTCTGGTTTAACAGCTGTCTGGTGTCCTGATGTATATCCTGGAATATATGGAGTAAATAATAATACAGTGGTAACCAAAAAAATGGAATGAATGATGTCGTTTTTCTTTCCTTTTATTACAAAATGTTGATAATTGAAACTGATGATTTTTGTTATAACATATTCCCAACATCTTTACACTTAAATCAGTTTTGATATTTAAAAATTTCAAAATCCTTAACGATGTTCTTTAATAAAAAGAAATATGACAACATTCTTCTATTTCCCAAAAAATGTGTTTTAAAATATTTCAATATTACCATGTGCTTCTGATATACTGTCCCCTCTACTATTGAGGAGTCTGATGTCTATCGCCTGAAAACAAAATAAAAATACAGTTTTTGTCACAAACTCAGATTTTTTAATAATATAGGGAATATAAAAATTGAAGTTTGTGGCAAAAACTCAATTCATTTTTGGGCTTTTTGGACCAGAACTTAACTAATATCAACTCTCAACATATTCTGCAAGCTCTACAATGTTCCGAACTTTAAAAAAGGCACTTTTTTGAACTTTGGAAAAAACAAACTAATGCAATTTGTATAGGTGGATCTGTTTCAACCAGTCATAATGTATTTTTTACCCATCTGGAAGCAATCGAAAATTTTATAAATATTGAGTTTCCATGTGTTTCATGGCAAAGCACTGGCTCATTTATAACCTAATTTTAACAAAATTGTTTTGTTTATTATTGTTTTTTTTATATTTTATATTTTGAATTTTGGGTTTTTCTAAGATTATATATTCCATATGGAACTTGATTTGCAGAAATTTTCAATATCTATTTTTAGACAAACATATCAAGGTTACTGATGATTTTCTATTGTAAAGGCATTTAAAAAAGGAGATTCAACAAATTTAAGAATAGTATAGNGAGCAGTGTGGAGGAGTATAGAGGAGTGTAGAGGAGTGTGGAGGAGTGTAGAGGAGTGTTAGAGGAGTGTAAAGGAGTGTATTGGAGTGTAGAGGAGGTGTAGAGGAGTGTAGAGGAGTTTAGAGGAGTGTAGAAGTGTGATTGTGTACTCTATGTATACTAAGTCTCCAACTGGCTTCCTTTCCAATTAACCTTTTGTTAACCTATATATTTCTACCTATCCTTATACACCTAATATATTCATGTATTTATAACTGTATAACCATCCATACTGTTCCAACAGTCTTTAATAGCTTTGTAATGTTTGTTTAAATAATTACCAAATCTGAAACTGTGTTGAAATCTAATTTAGATGCAGATAATCGTTCTTCAATATATAAGCATATATTGCAGTGTTTATGATGCATAATGCAGTACTCAGGTAATTATTTTAATTGATTCTTTTCCATTGTCAAATTTGCTTTATTTGCCTTTATATTTATCTGTCTATTTATCTCAACTATAGGCTAACTTTGCTAACTTTGCTAAGAACAAGTGCGTTATAGTTATAAAACGTACATATTTAAGGATTTAAAACGGTCACGCACAATCAGTGTACATTTGAATATCCGAGTTGGGCCGACATATGCGGTCCTAGTTTGGACTGCACTGCCAGTTTACAACTACGAAAGCCGCGGACCTGTGTTAAGTGTAAGTGAGTTAGTGAGTTTTTGAGGTAAAAACAAAGACTGGGGCGTTGTGACGCTTCAAAGCCGAGCAAAAGGCAATCTATCTGGGCTGTCACAAAAAATGGGTTTTTTAGTTTCACTATTTAAACAAGCATATTTTCTGGTTTAATGATTACAAAAAGTAGTTGAAATTTTAGATTATCTATCTATCTATTCTTGTGTCTATATATACCTTGTCTATATATGATGAAAGACGCCTGGATTGTCCTGTCTACCTGTCTATCTATTCATGCGTCTATATATACCTTGTCTATACATGATGAAAGACGTCTGAATTGTCCTGTCTACCTGGTATCTATTCATGTGTCTATATATACCTTATCTGTACATGATGAAAGACACCTGGATTTTCCTGTCTACCTGTCTATCTATTCATGTGTCTATATATACCTTGTCTATACATGATGAAAGACACCTGGATTTTCCTGTCTACCTGTCTATCTATTCATGTGTCTATATATACCTTATCTATACATGATGAAAGACACCTGAATTGTCCTGTCTACCTGCGTTTCAACCAGTCATAATGTATTTTTTACCCATCTGGAAGCAATCGAAAATTTTATAAATATTGAGTTTCCATGTGTTTCATGGCAAAGCACTGGCTCATTTATAACCTAATTTTAACAAAATTGTTTTGTTTATTATTGTTTTTTTTATATTTTATATTTTGAATTTTGGGTTTTTCTAAGATTATATATTCCATATGGAACTTGATTTGCAGAAATTTTCAATATCTATTTTTAGACAAACATATCAAGGTTACTGATGATTTTCTATTGTAAAGGCATTTAAAAAAGGAGATTCAACAAATTTAAGAATAGTATAGGTGTTGAGACCTGTGGAACGGACTGGAAACTAATCTCTAGTCCACAAACATTCTGGGAGGTTGCTTCATTCTCTACCTCCAACCAGGCTCTTCGGGTCATCCGGTCCATACCTTCATCATTCCTCTCCTCCTAAACATGAATATACTGTAAACTGTCTACTGTCTACTGTCTACTGTCTACTGTCTACTGTCTACTGTCTACTGTCTACTGTCTACTGTCTACTGTCTAATGTCTGCTATC